AGCTTGCAGAAGGTAAATATGAAAACGCGACCACATCGTGGATTGCACTCGAGAATGTAATTTTCAGGCACAGTACCTATGTGGTATCTTTCGATCTCTCAAGCAAGAAAATATGTAAATGCACACAATGGTTACATAATTTTTAGTTACATTGTATCAACTGGAGTTTCAGGACCTGTATAACTTCTTACATGATCTTGGAAATGACCTGATTATCGATGGAATGACATCCAAGGAATTCAAAGGACTTGGAGTATATAGATACTCAAAATATCTTAGCAGCAAGAAATTATCAACAACTGATATGAAGAACCTGTTGACCTTGATAGCTTGATGAATGGACCTATCAAAAAAAAGTTTAAGATTATTCCTGAACACGTATTGTAAGTTTCTGCTACTAAAATGGTAAAAGAAGAGTTTGTATCAATTGATTGTCACCACTTTCCTGAACTGTGTTTGGATTACTCTACAATTTCATTTTTTTTTTTTTTTTTCTTCCTGATATTACCTGTTGTATTGCAGATGGAAAGAAGAAGAACTGTTAGTTTTTCCACCCATGATTGGTGATTTCATGAAACCAAGAATCAAACAGGTGGTGTTAAATTATTTTTGTATCGATTCTGCTAATTAAAATTAATATTCTGGGTTCAATTAACTTAGATCTTACTTTAAAGGTGGAAGAGCTCCTGGCCAAGGGAATTAATGTGACGATATACAATGGACAGGTAACGTTTTTCACAATCTGGAGTTAAAGGAAAACATTGAATTATTTTATTTTCTTTACAGGACCGTCCCGACCCTCCATATTCTTAAGATCTGGGTGCTCCTAAGTAATTAGGCGGCCAAGACAGATTCTGTGGGATAGGGAGGATCCAAACGGGTGCTGTCACAATCACAACCTGAAACTGAAATGGTTTGGTTGAATTTTATGATAGCTTGATGTGATATGCTCAACCAAAGGAGCTGAAGCTTGGGTTCAGAAGCTCAAGTATGGCACTCATTTCCTTTTTTCAGAATAAAATTTTGTTCTCATTTTAGTGTTATGTTGTCAATAAATTGGTTCTTCTACTTCAGGTTGGATGGCCTGGAAGATTTTTTAGCTTGAAACGTTTTCCTTTATACTGCGGAAATGATGAATCAATCACCAAAGGATTTGTCACTTCATACAAGAATTTGTTTTTCTATTGGATTCTTGGATCTGGTCACTTCGTGAGTACTCTATCAGAAGGTCTTTAATGGTCTAATTTACCTTCAGTTTTTGGTGTTAAATCAATTGATTTCCTCAGGTTCCGGCAGAGCAGCCCTGTGTTTCTCTACAAATGGTGGGGAACATAACTCGGTCTCCAAATTATTAGTCTTAAACATAAAATGCAGAAATACCATCACTAGAGACATTGCAACGCAGAGTTAAATAGCTTTGAATTATTTACAGCGACTCAAAAGATTCTTGAACGTTAAAAGCATTTGTCACCTTAATTGTTTATTAGAAAACATATATCTCTGTATAAAATGGAATTTGTACTATGTAAATGAGTTTTAAAGATTTGTTGCAGTCGTGTTTATGATTAGTGAACAGTGTCTTTGTCATTATTAACTCACTTCCAAAAACTCAACAACTATAGGGTGTCACATGCTTAATCTTCTAATAGATGGGATTCAATAGATCTCACTTTCCAAAACTAACTCAAAGAAAAAGAATGTCCAACCACATATATACATCATAACAATCCAACAATTATATGATGTGAGATAAATTTAACTTCTAACAGTCACCTTTTATTAGAGCTGGTAAAACCAGTGTTGACACGCCAACCTGACATGAACATGACACAATTTAAACGGGTTGAGTTGACACAAATAATATTTGGGTCGGGTTCGAGTTTGAACACTAAACATGATTACTGTTGGGGCCAAAAAATGGCTTGGGCCCTATCAAGCCCGAATGCGAAACACCTTCTATCTGGCCCAAAGCCAAGGCACAATCCTGGTTGGATCCACGATAAGATATGCATAATGGGCTAGCTCATTTCATGAATCAGGCTATTCGTAGATTGGGCCTGACCACTAAAGCCTAAATCCGATTAGGCCTCGTCATCAATTTATATGGGGCCAAGCCCATCAATACAAATCATTCTCAGAATCCAAAGTTTATTCCGACTCTAAAGCCATCTACTTCTTATTTTAGTACAGTCCTGATATTCCTAGAAGACCCATCAATATCCTAATTCCTCTAAGATCCTGGATCTTACATTGAATAGGATTCTAACTCCTTCAAAGGTAGGAAATCAAGGATTTTCCTATTCACTAAATCTCTATTACCATGGACTCATAATCCTACTAGGATTTGAAGATCCTACAACCTCTCATGAGGCATTCAACCTTACACCTAAAAATCCCCCTATTCTCACTCTTGAGAGCTATACATCGCCGCCGTAGTTCTAATCTTCGACTAAACTATTGGTAACCCTCTTTCTCCCTTATCCTCACTAAATTAGCCTCTTTCAATCGGAGATGAGCGTCAAAGTGCCTAAGGCAAACGCCACCCTAGGTGTTTCCCATTCGCCTCATGCTTGTTTCTTTATGTGTGTAGGTGCAACGAATTGCTAGTGACCTCAATTTCACGGGATTAGATACCCTTTTTCGTAACCGTAGATTTCACCATCTACAGTTGGAGTTGAGGGTTCTCAACCCACAAATACGTTTATGACACACGAGCCCATTTATAACATGCGAACTCATTAATTATTACTAATAAGAGCTTGAAAATACACATTTAGTTAGTGATTTATGGGGATTAATTGTGCGAAATTAGGCTTAATTTGATAAAGTTGCTTAATATTTTCATAATTGTCTTTTACGGGATCACGTGTGTTTTTGAGTGTTTTTCAGGCTACTAGTGCATAAATGTTATGCTCAAATGAAGAATCATGTCGACAACGGAATGAGTGACGAGTGGAAACAAACGGATCAAGAATCGGAGTTGAATTGAAGAAGTTACAGAAGTTAAAGTAAAGAGAAGATTCTAGATTACGTTCCAACTTGAGCATACCTCGGTCTTTTGAGAATATTTTCAGCTGTAGAACTCAGATTAAGATAATTCTTTAACTGTTGGAAATCTGATTCAAAGGGCTACATTTCATATGTTTACCACTTCTCCAAATTTTATCGTTATCGAGTTCAAAAATCATCATCTCTGAAGAACAGTGGAATGATGCGGGAACAAGAAGAGATTACTGTGCTGCAGCACAGTGCCGTGGCATAGTCACAACAATTAAGAATTTGTTATCTGTTTGAAGGTAGAAAAATATGGTTAAGAGTCCTAAACTAAATAGAATATAAAAAAATAAAACCCTAACCCTTGTGGGATATAAATATAAGTCTTTTAGCATTATTTGGGGATTCTTTTAGGGAGAAGAAGAAGAGATAAATCTGCATAGAAGAGAAGTAACAAAAGTTCTGGAGCTTTGATTGACAATATAGAGAAGTATTTCTTGTTCTTTTCCTTATAAACTCATGATGATTGTTTTAATAAAGATGATTGTTTCTTTCATGTTTATTATGAACTAAATTTATTCTCTAGGGCTAAGATGTAGCCCAATCTCTTGATTATGTATTGATTTTTGCTTGTTAATTTTTATTAAGAATTCTTCTTAAGTTTTACTATTATACCTAATGCTTTTGATTCTTAAGGGCCCAAGAATTGAATGAACTAATGGACTAGGTTGAGATCGAGAGATGACACTTAGTTGGTCTACGGTAGTAAAACTATAAGTTGAGAGAACGCTAGAGATAGGTTACCGCAACTTGTGAGATTCTGGTAAACTCCATAGAGCGTAATGATCTTCAATTGCTTAAATCTGATTAGAGATAATTCGAGTTAGTAATTAAGAGTTAATTCGATAATTGTTCGAGAGAAATTTATTGGAAAAGAATGGGTTTGACTTGTAGGAAGAGCTTAATAAAATTAGCATAAGAGATCGATACATATGAATAAGAGTTGGTGTGAAGTCTATGCCTTAGGTCTAGTTATCTTGTGTTTACCCAAAGGTTTATTTTAATTGTCCTCTATTTAGTTCTCTTTTTAATTTCAATTGTTAATTTAGTTTAGATCTTCCTTGATACAATTTGGATTGATCAAATAGTAATAGGATAGTTTAATTGGTAATTGATAATAGTAATTCCCTTGGGTTCGATATCCGTATTTATACATTTTATTACTTGCACGATTTCATACACTTGCAAAAATCTACAACAAGTTTTTAGCGCCGTTGCCAGGGAATTAGTTTTTTCAATATCATTACGAACTATTTAGTTGCTAGTTTGATTTGTTTTATCTTTGTTCTGAAGTTAATTTTATTTATTTATTATTATTATTTTCATTTTTGTTTCTCTTATTTTGTCGTGGGTGTTTTTTGTTTTAGATCCTGGAGAGCTTACGTTCAAAAGGTCGTGGTGATCTTAATCCTTTCAATTCTAAGATAGAGAGAACAGCTAAACAGTTGAGAAAGGAAAAGAGGCAAGCTAACATAGAAAAAGCAGTATCTGATAAGGGAAGTATAAATCAAGACATGAGTAATCCAGAAAATGAGGAAGTCCTAGAGGGCAATGGAATTACAGGAGGGTTAGTGGTTCAACGAGCATTGAAGGACTACTTTAGTCCTACTGTTGGAGGGTGCTATTCCAGCATCAAGAGGCCACCAATTCAAGCAAATACGTTTGAAATAAAGCCAACAATTATTCAACCGATACAACATGCGGTTCAATTTGCGGGGTTACCTAATGATGATCCCAACCTGCATATCGCTAACTTTCTAGAGCTCTGCGACACATTCAAACACAATGGAGTATCCGATGATGCGATTAGGCTTAGACTTTTCTCATTCTCTCTTTGGGATAAAGCTAAAACTTTGTTGATTTGTTTGCCGTCAGGAAGTATTACTACATGGAATGAGTTAGTTCAAGCATTCCTTACGAAATACTTCCCATCTGTCAAGTCTACTAAAATGAGGAGTGATATCACAAATTTTTCCAACAAGATATAGAGTCACTCTATGAAGCTTGGGAGAGATTTAAGGATCTCTTACAGAGGTGTCCTCGTCATGGGCTGCCAATATGGTCGCAGATACAAGTGATGATTAGTGTTGCAAGTGGGGGAGCTTTGAATAACAAAACACTGGAGGAGGCTTATAATCTTATTGAAGTGATAACTACATGAGGCCTTCCGAGAGAAATTCAATGAGGAAAGCAATGGGAGTGCACGAAGTTGATGGTTACACCGCATTGGCTACTCAACTCTCCATCATTCAAAAGTAATTGGGAGTTGCCCTAAAGGTAAATGCTATGAATCATCTTCCCTAACTTGTGAACTTTGTGCAAGAAATCATTTATCGAAGGATTTTCAAAAAGGAAATCTATTTGCTCAAACGGAACAAGCTAACTATATCAACAACTTTCAACGAGGGCAAGGGAATCCATATTCTAGTACATACACTTCAGCATGGCACAATCATCCGAATTTTTCGTGGAGTAACGATAATGAGCATAAACGACCACTGGGTTTTCAACCTTAAGAGAAGAGATATAATATGGAGAATGTGCTCACTAAGTTCGTGGAGGAGTCACGAAAAAGATTTGACAAGAATGAATCCCAACTCCAAAATTATGAAGTGTTGTTACAAAACCAATCCGCTTCCATCAGAAATCTTGAAACTCAAATAGGGCAAATCCACAATATTTTAGCAGGAAGAGTTCAAGGAACATTGCCAAGCGATACCAAGAAGAACCCGAAGGAGAGAGTCAATGCTGTCATACTGAGAAGTGGTAAGGAATTGAAGGAAGTAAGGAAGGAAGAAGAAACAAAGGAAAAACTCGAAGAAGAAAAAGAGGGTAGAAGCAAGTGTGCCGCAACACAAGGACAGAAAATGTCAAAAATGTCCAGGCTTTGATAAACAATGACTTGACACTCTCGTATCCTCACAAAGTGCAAAAATAGAGATTGGATAAGCAATTCGGTAAGTTTATGGACATGTTTAGATATTTACACATTAACATTCCTTTTGTAGACATATTGGAGCAAATGCCAAAGTACGCGAAGTTTCTGAAGGAGATTATCACCAAAAAGAGGAGATTTGAAGAACATGAGACGGTGATGCTTACAAAAGAGTGCAACGCGTTGCTATTGAAGAAATTACCACCAAAGCTCAAAGATCTAGGAAGTTTCACAATTCCTTGCACAATAGGTAATGTTCATTTTGATAAAGTTTTATGTGACTTAGGAGCTAGTGTTAACCTCATGCCATTTTCAATTTATAAGAAACTAGGCCTATGGGGAAGTAAAACCAACCACAGTCCATCTTCAATTAGCTGATAGGTCTATAAAATACCCCAAAGGAGTAGTAGAGGATGTATTGATAAAGGTAGATAAGTTGATTTTCCCGGTGGATTTCATTGTTCTTGACATGGAAGAAGATCAGGAAGAACCTCTAATTCTAAGAAGACCCTTTCTAGCTACGAGTAAAACTTTAATAGATGTTCACCAGGGGAAGCTAATCTTAAGAGTAGAGGATGAACAAGTAGAGTTTAATGTGTTTGATGCCATGAAGTAGCCATCCGAGGGAGACACTTGTTTTCAAATTAATGCCTTGATAATGTCATTGCCAAAACCATGGAAGAAAATTACCCAAGCTCCCCCTTACAGAATTGTCTAGTTCACGCGAGGACAAATGAAGATGAAGCGGATGGAGAAGAGTTAAAAGGGTGTTTAAGTTTCTTAAACTCTCTACCATCAATGAGATCCCCACCCACTAAGAAGTTCTTTGAGATTAATGCGATAGAAAGTCACTCCAACTCATCAACAAAGGAGCCTTTGCAACTTGAACTCAAACAACTGCCATCTTACTTAAGGTATACATTTTTAGAAGATTCAAAGTTTTATCCTATTATTATTAATGCTTCTTTGAGTGACGTAGAGGAAGAAAGGCTATTAAGGGTGCTACGGACATACAAGACAACTATCGAATGTACAATTACGAACATCAAAGGTATAAGCCCCTCAATTTTCATGTACAAGATTTTAATGAAAGAAAGTTACAAGCCAACGGTGCAACCACAAAGAAGACTCAATACAGCAATGTAAGAAGTGGTGAAGAAAGAGGTTTTAAAGTTGTTGGATGCAGGAATCATTTACCCAATTTCAGATAGTGCATGGGTAAGTCCGGTCCAAGTTGTACCAAAGAATGGAGGAATGATCGTGGTGCAAAACGACAACAATGAACTCATTCCAACAAGAAAGGTTACAGGGTGGCAAAAGTGCATTGATTTTTGGAAGCTTAACTCTGTGACACGCAAAGATCACTTCCCACTTTCATTCATTGATCAAATGCTAGAGAGATTAGCAGGCCACGCATTCTATTGTTTCCTAGATGGATACTCAGGATACAATCAGATTGCAATAGCACCGGAAGACCAAAAAAAGACCACATTCACATGCCCATATGGAACATTTGCATACCGAAGGATGCCGTTTGGACTATGCAACACACCAGTCACTTTTCAACGTTGCATGATGTCCATCTTCTTGGATATGGTGGAGAACTCTATCGAGATTTTTATGGACGACTTCTCTATGGTAAGTAATTCCTTCGATGCTTGTTTATCTAACCTTTCTTTAGTTTTGTAGAGATGTGTGGAGACTAATCTAGTACTAAATGGGAGAAGTGTCACTTCATGGTACAAGAAGGAATTGTACTAGGCCATAGAATCTCTATCAATGGGATCGAGGTGGATCGAGCAAAGGGGTCATCGAGAAGTTACCACCCCCAAATTCTGTGAAAGTTATCTGAAGCTTCCTTGGACACGTAGGCTTCTATAAAAGATTTGTCCAGGATTTTTCTAAAATCTCTAAACCTCTTTGTGATCTATTAGCTAAGGATACACCTTTTAATTTTATTAAAGAGTGTTTAGAAGCATTTGAGTGCCTAAAAGCTAAATTTATATATGCTCCTATAATTGTTGTGCCCGATTGGAAATTACCTTTTGAATTAATGTGTGATGCTAGTGACTATGCAATAGGAGCTGTATTAGGGCAACCAAAAGGTAGAATTTTACATGTTATTTACTAGCTAGTAAGACATTGAAAGGACCACAACTGAATTATGCTACGATAGAGAAAGAATTTTTAGTTGTTATTTTTGCAATTGACAAGTTCCATTCTTATTTGCTAGGTACAAAGGTCATTGTACATATCGACCATTCAGCTTTGAAATGCCTTCTAGCAAAGAATGATTCCAAGACAAGATTGCTTATATGGGTGTTACTTTTTCAAGAGTTCGACTTGGAAATCCTAGACAAGAAAGGAACCGAGAATCAAGTAGCGGACCATCTATCTCGATTGAAAAGAAGGGAAGAAGATCAAAATGACGAAAAGCCAATCAATAAACATTTCCCAAATGAGCAACTATTTGATGTGCAAGATGGACCTTGGTTTGCCAACATCGCCAATTACTTAGCAAAAAAGGTGCTACCTCTCGGAATGACACACCAAGGGAGGAAGAATTTTTTCTCTGACTTGAAACACTACTTTTGGGAGGATCCATTCTTGTACAAGTAATGTGCGGACCAAATGGTCAAGAGATGTGTGCCAGAAGAAGAGGTGGAGAATATACTTCAACATTACCATTCTCTTAAGGTTGGAGGGCATTTTGGAGCAACACGAACGGCCGCTAAAGTTTTTCAATCAGGATTTTTCTGGCCCACTCTCTTTAAAGATGCATATAATTATGTTTGAGCTTGTGATATGTGTCAAAGGGCTGGGAATATTTCTTGTAAAAATGAAATGTCTTTTAGCAACATTTTAGAAGTGGAAATATTTGATGTATGGGGAATAGATTTCATGGGATCGTTTCCATCTTCTTTTTCTAACCGCTTCATTCTTGTGGCTGTAAATTACGTCTCAAAATGGGTGGAAACTGTGGCACTACCGACCAACGATGCTCGTGTTGTAGTCAAGTTCATAAAGAAAAGCATCTTCACAAGATTCGGCCCGCCTAGAGTTATCATCAGTGATGGAGGAGCTCACTTTTATAACCAACAATTCGAGGCATTATTAAGTAAGTATGGAGTTACACATCGAGTTGCAACACCATATCATCCGCAAATAAGTGGGCAAGTGGAGGTATCTAACAAGGAGTTGAAGAGAATCCTAGAGAAAACTATGAATGCCTCTCAGAAAGATTGGTCCACCAAATTGGATGATGCACTATAAGCATATAGAACGACTTTCAAAATGCCAATAAGGATGTCGCCATATAGGTTAGTTGTAACGCTCCACTTGAGGTATGTACTTAAGATTTGCTATATTGCTTAAGTGTTCATTGATTCAGCTTTAATTGAGTCTGGTTATTGTTAATAATATTTAGTTGGCCTTGGTTGAGTGGTTGCCTTGCAATTTGTAAAACTTGGCGAAGTTTTATATTACAGACTTCGTCGCGGCGATGAAGCCCTGCAACCTACGGTGTAGGTTCTGTAATTTTTCGCCGCGACTAAGGGCTTGACAAAAAGTGTATTGAGTTTCTAGAGAATTCTTCCTTTGGGGCACAATGACCATTCTACCCCTAATTAGTAGGAAAAGTGGGGAGTAAAATATAAAGAAATTTCATGGAGAATAGGTTAGTGTGGGGGTGTGAGTGAAATGAATCAAGGGATATAGATGAAATTTTCAAAGAAGAGCAAAGGCAAAGTTGGGAAGTGATGGTTATCTTGTGAGTTAAAAAGGGTTAAGTGAAATAAACCCTCCATTTCATTCATTTCCACCGCCATAACCATTCTCTAAATTCTCTCAAGTTTCCTTTTAACTTTCCAATATTTCTAAGGAGTTTTAGGGAGCTTTTGGGGTAATTTTAGTAGAGTTTGAATCTAAAGCATCTTAAGGTAAGGATTCTTGCTTTGGATGTGAGTTTGTTTATAGTTATATTGAAGTTTTATGTGGTTGTTATTGTTCTTGTTGTTGTTTTGAGTTGTTGTAGAGAGAAGACAAGACAACAAGGGAAAGGAAAAGTACTAAAGAAGTCACTTTTTCACAAGGAAAGTAAATCCAAAACAAGTGGAGAATTAAGAACTCATTTGAGTAGAGATTTATGTATGTATGTGTATATCTTATGTTCATTGAGAAATTGAGATGAGATGAGATGAGATTATAGTTATTAATGAGTATTGAATGTATTGGAATATGAGAAGTGTTGAGATTTTATGGTGTTGAGTTGAGTTTGATTGAAGTTGAAGGGAGTTTGAGTAAACTCTATAGAAGTGTTTGTTTCATTGACAGGAAATTAGAATTTATGAGAGAGTTTTCTCCCATATTGGGAAGGTTCAAGAGAAGAGAATAGTTATTGTTAACATAGAGTTTTATATGCACATGAGTTGTATGATGAAATGCTCAAGAGAAGTATGAGTAAGAGTAGAAACCCTTAATTATTACTACATGGCATAATCGCATTTCATTAGTGCATTAATGAGCATGAGTCATCCATATGCATTAATTATGCATTAGAGAAAGAGTAGAAAAAGAGTAGAGAACTTTGAGTGTGAGCTTTAGTAAAGAGAAAGAGAGATTGAGCACTAGAGAATAAAAGAGAGAAAAGAGCATAGAGTAGGTTATGCGATGGGGAACCCGTGAGTAATGGGTAGAGTATTCCCGCATGTACGCCGCATTGAGAGAGCGGCATGAGTATGAGAAAGAGAAGTGGTGTAGCCCGTAAGAGTGCATGCGGATGAGGGCTATACCCGAGAGAGAGATTATATACTCACATGGCCAAGGGTTTCGAATCCATGCATAACCAAATTCGATCGACTAGAATGTGTATAAGTCACATAGAGCGGGAACGAGTCCCGGCCATGCCTCCAGTAAGATGAGGTCGTGACTTACTAAATAGAGTTAGTAGAAAAGAATTATGAGAAAGAGAAAATAGAGAGAAGTATAAGAGAGAGAGTAAATGAGAATCGTAAGGAAAGAATTAGAGACAGAGTTACGGGGATGGATGAGTAGAGGATTTACTTACTGAGCATTAGTTGTGCTCACCCCGTTGTTTTCTATGTTTTTGCAGGACCTAGGTGAGGATACAGTCGTAAGGGTGTCGGCAAGCGAAGAGATATGACTACACTGTCCACCATGTTTTTTATCACTTTTGTACATGATACAATTTTTGTGTAAGGAATATCCATATACATATATATGCTTAATGAAAGAAAATTTTGGGCCCAACTATTTATGTTATTTTCGATGTGTTTTCATTATGTATCTTTTATGAGTACATGAGTAGGGAGTGGCTATTACATTAGTATATGGAAAAGCATGTCACCTGCCGGTTGAGCTTGAGCATAGGTCATATTAGGCTAAATTTTGATCCAAAGGCGGTAGGTGCGAAGAGATTGTTGCAACTCAATGAGATAGAGGAATTTCGCCACAAAGCATATGAAAGTGCTCGGATTTATAAAGAGAAGACCAAACTTTGGCATGATAAGCACATAGTGAAAAATGAGTTCAAAATAAGAGAAAAAGTTTTGTTATTCAACTCGAGACTTAGACTTCTCCTAGGAAAGTTACGATCAAGATGGTTCGGACCATTCATTGTAAGTAAGATTTTTCCGCATGGGGCCATCGAAGTTCATCATTCGGTGAAAGGGACGTTCAAAGTCAACGGACAAAGATTGAAACTCTATATTGAGCATGAATCGGAAGAAGAAAGAGTTTTGATTTTTCTCCACGAACCAAAGTGAACATAAAAAGGCGTAAAGCTAAGGACATTAACTAAGCGCTTCGTGGGAGGCAACCCATGTTTTCAATTACTTTCATTTTTCATGCATTTTTTCTTTCAAAAAAAAAAAAAAACAGGGGGTATGCCGCGACACGAAATGGGCAAAGGTGAGTGTGCTGTAGCACAATCGCGAATCACCCATACAAACTAGAAAATAGAAAAAAAAATTCCTCTCTCCCTACCCTTTAACCTCTCTCACCTCAAAATTCATTCTTGTTTCCAAATCCCATTCTCATTCTACGTTCTCTTCATCTTTTACAAGGATTTCAAGTGGGAATTCAAGAAAATCTTCTTGGTAGAGTTAGGGTTGCAAAATTAGGGATTTCCAAGTTCAAGAGAAATTGGTGGAATTGTTGAGCAAGATTGTCTCTTTCCAGCACAAGTAAGTATTCCTATACTCCATATTCACAAATTTGGCTTCCTATTACTTGATTTTGCAAGATTGTTTGGTGATTTTGGGTGCAATTTCGTTGGTTGAGAAAATTTTAGTATAAGGGTGATTTGCAATGCTATTGTGTGGATTTTAGATCATACATTGTCATTAGTTGGTGTTGTTGATTAGATTTGGTGTTGACTTTGATTGGAATTAGTTTGTTGAGGAAAAGATTGGTGTTTAAGGGGGATAAGTTCAATCTTATTTGAAGAATTGGGTGATTGTTTAATAGTGGATTGTGGCAGTTCGTTTTTCGTTGAAAACAGAAGAAAAAAAAAATTTCATGGCTCCAAAAATAGCTCCCAAGCGAAAAGCGAGAGGTGGGCAAGGTAGTCAAGTGAATGATCCTAAGTTTGTGAGTGGAAAAGCTAAGGAAAGGTTTGAAGATGCTCAACAAAAAGAGAGGGGTTTTATACAAGAAAGGGGCATGGATTTTGATGATGATGACGTAGAAGAAATAATTGACATAATCAAGAAATTGGGGTGGCATAAATTCACTCAAACTCCCCCATCAGTCAAGGAAAAGAGGTAAAATTTGATGCTGAGACAATTAACCGATATTATGGATTGCCACCAGTCGAAGAGGATGAATACGAGGAGTACTTGAAAAATGCCAATTATGACAAGGTAATTAGGAGAATGACAAAGGGACAAGATGAGTGGGTCATGGTGGGTGATCCATATAAGAAATTTTTGCAGGAAATCTTCGCATGTCCACTCGTGTGTGGCAATATTTCATGGACACAAGATTATGCCAACAACTCACAATAGTACTATGGATCGAGTGAGAGCAATCTTGATTTATTGTATCATGACAAAGAAGCAGATGAATGTGGATAACATAATTGTGTCTCAAATGTTATCTTGTGCCAACAATCTTAACACGAGCTACTCCTTCCCGCAACTCGTCACGGGACTATGTCGTCAAACGGAAGTTCCTCATACTTCGAGAGAAAAGGTGATTCACCCTGGCATTTGTTTGACTAATAAGTACATGAACAAACTCTCAATAGGACAGAAAAAGCTAACCGGATCAATGGGTGCTTCATCCTCAAAAGCTCCACAAGAGGAAAGAGATGAGAGTTTGCATGATAAGGTGGAAGCCATACACAATTATCAACATCAACAAACCAAATGGATGAATGCTCAATTTCAAGTCCTCTTCAACATGCAACGAGGTCAAATGGAGCAAACAGGGTGTGACACTTCAAGGTACAAATTGAGCGAGATGATTTATCACCCGAGTGAGGCTGATGAAGAAGACGATAAGGAGGTGTTCGATGAAAGTATGGAGGAATAATCAATGAGAGGATCTCTAGTTGGAAAAGGAAAATTGATGTGTTGCCTTCCATGTTATTTCCTTCGCTTTATGTACTTTTATTTTTGTGTTGTTTAGATACTTATATGTTTGTTTGTTTGATGTAGGTTTTATGTGGATTGTCGTTTAAGGTTTTAGGTTGTGACAGATTTAGTGTGGTTTGACATGTTAATCATTTTTGTTTCACCCATAAGTTTCGTTTTGCACACTAAATTGGCCAAGCATGGAACATAGTTTGTTTTCTTTTGGATTAGATTCCTGATGACTATTGGATACAACAAACAATATGCACGTCTTCACAAGATTATCTCCACATAAATGTTGCGCAAAAAGGTAGTGTAGTTGTTCTCTCTGCACATTGAGGACAATGATAATCTCTAATGTTGAGGGTAAGGAATATTTTCTTATGGTCAAATTTAGTTTCATTCGATGGACATCATTGAATATCTTTTGCTTTGAATTATCTCTTTAAAAGCTTTTGGGTGAAATTGTTTTACGTGTGTTGCTCATACATAAGTCAATGATAAGACCATGATAGAGAATTTGTAATATTGAGATTTTATTAACTTTTGCGTAATGGAAAGATGATAGTAGATGACAATTGTACTTAGTTATGACTCTCTTGGAAATGGGTTTGATTGGTTGAATAATTCGGAAACTTAGAGACATTTTATGTGTGTTTTTATGGGCAATAATTTTTT